TAGAACTCTACTGCTCTAAATGTTTAAGATCAATCCTTCTTTTATGCTTGTTTAGTTATGTAACAAATATGTTGTATATCTTCTTGTAAGGCCTGATGCAAAACATACCTGTAAAGTAGAAACTGCATTTATTTCCCTGTGCAGTGTAGTCTTCTAGCGTAGATGTAATAAAGAACTCATGGCTAATGAATTTGGCCAAGAGTGATGCTTCTAGATTGTGAGAGAAGGGAAATAGAAGCATTAGAGCCCGGGTAAGGGCTAAAATGGCTGAATCCCTGAAGTTGTGGCTTGATATGCAAATTACATAAAAATATACTCTATATTTTAAATAATATAAAGAAAATAATAAAATCTAAAATGAAAGTTGAAGTTAAAAGCCAGCTCATTGAAATGGTACAGTGGAAAGTATTTGGTAAAAAAACTGACTAATGGGTAAGGTTGACTAGCGGCAAATGTCGACCTATCTGTAGAGCTCAGCGTTCAGTTGTTCGGTTGAATAATCGAGCGATAACTGAATAACTGACAAAAATTAGAGATCCAAGCCTCCAATGAACGGCCAAAACCGACTGACAATATAACTATAACCAACTGAGTGACCGCTACTCGATTTCGATCGGTGACCGTATAACCATACATAACCGAGGATAGATTAGCTCAAACAGATCCTAGAATCAGCTTTATACAGATACACCAATGCACAAAACGTTTTATTCGAACGGTGTAAATGCATCAGTAAAAGGTTTTATACATTATTCTTAATTTCTTGCGAGTTTTATACTAAATATGTGTGTAGCTATAATATATATTGAGTAAACAAGAAGCTCCTAATATAATTAGATACATGACGTGAGAATGTAAAAACATACTCCATATGTATTGAAAGTCATAAGATTTACCCAAATCAATAACAAAATCAATTATCTGAGAACTACAAAATGGGAAACAAAGCCTACATGTGTATTCGGCAAAGCCTAAAAGATTAGGAGAACCCAAGGAGTAATTCAAAATAATGAGACATCAAAGAATCTCTCTAAATTTGGCAAGAGAGAATCATGTTCATAGATCTGTTAAGATTCTGAAGCATAATGGAGTGAAGGCATGAAGAACAGTAGAAAGAAGAAAGTATTTAAGGAAGATGAGAGTAAACAGGAACCTGAGTAACAAAGACGGCGATGTACCATTGTTTTAAATTGCGCAATGCCTTACCACCTTAAGGCGTGCCTTGGCATTTTTTGCCTATGTAGGATGGGAGGTGTATCCCAATTTAAGAAAAATAGAAACTTGCGCAATTGCAGCTTAGGCATACACATATTGCGTATCAAAAAGGGAATTTAGTGAGGCACGCCTGTTTTCAGTACATTGGATGTACTGAAAATATGTGCTAATGGGTTTGGGATAATGGGTGAGTGTGCTAATAAAACATGTGGGCTAATATCTGTTTATTGTATACACTAGGATTCAGTTATCAGTTACTGACCGAAACTGAGGAATTCAAACCAACTTGTAACCGAATAACCTATATATTTTGTATTTTGATATCGGTAACCGACCGTAAACTGATAATCTTGATCAGTTCGGCCCTCAGTCTTCGGCCAGGTCGGTTATTTGTTCACCCCTACCAAATAGCACTTCGTGTTGCAAGTAGATGTTTATGTCATGCTGGTTCAGCCCACAACTGGCTTGGTCCAGCTTCTTATAGTCCTATTTATATTTATATTAAAGCTAATTTATGAATTTTACTTCCATATTTTGATTATCTTCTCTTTGAACTGTTAATTCTCACCTACAGGTTACTTTCTACGAGGCCTTTAAAAATATGACGGAGTACGGGAAACAAAAATGGTTTCCCAACTCAACTCTTCAATTGAATAGCTCTGTGGAGGGGCTCTTGTTGGGAGGACTAGCTGGGGGTAAGCATCTCTTGGTGTTGCTAGCAAATGTACACTTATGTGTTGTATATGGTTTATGTAGAATCATGTACTGATGTTTCATTCTGATTTCACTTTACATTACAGGCTTAAGTGCATATCTAACCACACCCTTTGATGTTGTTAAAACAAGATTACAAGTACAGGGGAAAATATTAAGGTATCATATTTCCTACAATCATTGTGCTCTTTGATTTTATTCCTTCCCACAGGCCCTCTTTCATGGACCCTCAAATAAGCTTCAGCTAGAAGTAGGCAAATCACAAACGTATATCATACGGAGTATCTTATCTTAATATTTGGATGAAAACACTTCTTTTTTTAAACCAGGCAAGCAAACCACCAAAATCAGTGGCTAAATGCCGGGGAACATTTACCGGATTTTATTGAGAAGAAAAATTAAATACATCAACAGGTCAAAATAAAACAAAAGCCCAAAACATCAGCCCAAGAAATTTGGATGAAAAACACTTGTCTCTGTTTATAAATTGGTAATATGACAGTAATTGAAAATATAAGAAAAACCGAGAAGAAAGCTTAAAGCAAAGAAAACAAAAATTTGTTCAAAGTCAAATAACTGCATTTATTTATTTATCTATTTATTTATTTTTATTACATCTTTTGGGATTAAGGCTTGGATGATGTTGTTGTATTTATTTTTATTACATAAAGCTAAGAAATTTAAATTTACCTAAAAATATACTACGTAATATTTATAGTCTGTATTGATATTTAATTTATCTTCCAATTTGCTAAGGTAAAACTGAACAGGGGAAAAACTTTTTTTCTTTCCTTTATACGTAGTATTTACCAAGATTCAAACAACGACGTAAGCTACTCTCCTAAACTCTTGGGGGGTGAAAACACCCTTGGTATTTGGCACGGTTTCAGACCTATTACCGCTATTGTTGCCATATGTTTGAAGACCAAGTTGCAGAATATTCTTGGCAACTTGCCAAGATATTAACATCTCAAGTTAGGAACTATGTGAAAGTCGAAAGATCATGGATATCCCCACAACCATGTTACAAACATGTTTTGGGGGTTAAAATTCACGTTTAGCCTTTGTATAGTGGAATATAAATGGATATCCCAACAACGTTGGGGGTTAATATTCATGTGTAGCTTTGTTTAGTGGAGTATAAATGGGAAAGAAAGTTTTATTTATTCATAAACAATTGCTTCGAATAGGACTAAAACATAGACAAAGTGCACAAACAGGAGTAATTATATTTTATTCCCAAAATAGTATTTATTTGGTCCTATTAAAAGTATAAAACTTTCCCAACTAGGAGTGAATGAGTCTTATTTTAGGAAGAAAACAATGGTAGTCCTATTTGTGCACTTTGTTTATGTTTTATTCACTTTGGAAAGATTGGAAAGAATTGGAGGCAAGAAATAGAACTATAGAAGAGAAATGATCAACTTCTCTAGTATGGTTTAGGACAGAATTTAAGTGTAGGAGGTAGGACACACCTTATGACATCTCTCCTAATATGAGAAGAAATAGAAGAGTGTTATTTACATCTCTCTTATTATTCTATGCCTCTCTTATATCTTTGCTCAACCAAACAATGCATTGAGGAGAAGCTGCAGAGAGTGAAACAAGAAGAGTAAGGTTAGATAGATGCACACGTTTCTCAACTATCCAAAAGTAGATTCACTTTTGGGCCAAAATCACGTTCCTAGAAGGCACCAAACCTGTATTGGGATAACTACACTTTTATTTTTCTCCATGTATTATAAATTGCTAAGTGTTGGGAATTGCGATGACCACCAAGGCACCAATTGACCATATATTCAAATTGTATGATTTCCAGGTATAGTGGTTGGTCTGATGCTGTTCATAAGATATGGGTGACTGAGGGTTTGAGGGGGATGTTCAGAGGTAGCATTCCTAGAATTACATGGTACATCCCGGCATCAGCACTAACCTTCATGGCTGTCGAATTGCTGAGAGAGACGTTTAATGAAAGGCTGGACAACAACAATAAACTGCCTGGTAGTACTAGTAGTACGTCGATTGACAAAAAAGATTTTTCATTACAAGAGGTCTCCTAAAACACTCTATCCTCCACTTCATACTCCGCTGCTATTCTCATGATGGGGTACTTTTGTCAATATATGTTAAGACTGTTCTGACCGACAACTTATGCCAAGGCATTGACCCAGTATTGTAGGAGATTATTCAGGAAAGCATATTATTTCAGCTCAAACATCTAGATCACTCTTGAGTTGAGAAATGATATTTTATGCTAATGGTCTTTGTGGTTTACAAAATGCAAGATCTACGTAAATAATGTGATTACTTCCTGGAAGGTAATGTGAAAAAGTGTGCGAATGCATGTTACATTGAACAGTGTAGTTTACCTAATATGAAACTCTATCCCAAACGGGTTATTGTGACCATGAAACCATTCTAATTTTGGTTAATTATGGTTGTTATAAATTAGGAAAAATATATGTTTCGTTAGTTGGCTTAGCTAAATATCATAGTAACTTGCTACTTCTATTTGATGTTTTTTTTTGGATTTTTTGAAAGTAACCTTTATTTAATCTAGCATCTATTTTGCAAATATTTGTTTCAGATAGTTGTTTATTTGGAACGTGATTATTACTTGCTTAATTTTGTCACTAAGATTTTCAGGACAATCTGACTAGTTTTCATGTCATTATTACATTGCTGTAAAGCCTGTAATGTCACATTTTCATATACTTGACTTATACTATCTCAGTTCTCAAATTACCCCACGTATGGAAATTCGAACCAAACAACCAATGAACCAAAACCATTCTAACATTTTTTTTGTAATGAAAGTTACACTTTTGCCCTTTCAACTGGGTTTGTGATTCCCCTTTTTAAAGTCGACTAATTTTAATTTCTCCTCATGCTTTAGTTAAATGCTAGTGGAACTCCATTATATCCTCCAACTTCCAAGTATTAAAGTAGTGACACAATTAGGAGGCAAACACATCCACCATTGGTGGACCACCAATAAAAAATGCAGATTTTTACCCCATTAACCTAGTGCACAAAATTTTGCACAAAAATACTGATAAATTTTTTTTCTACCCCATTAACCTGGAAAATTAAGAGAAATATGGGTACATCCTCCAGGCTCCAACCATTGTGCCAGATTCCAAATATGGGTAACAAAACTGTCACTGTCACAATGGTTAGATGATTAAAACTGGGAAAGTTAAAAATGTGAGCACTCTGGAAAGTTAAAAAACTCAAAACTGAATTCTGAAACTCTCATTGTCACAATAATGTGAGCACTACCTCAAAATATAGATACAGTACTAGTAATAATACAATTATTCCAACAACTGTGATGCCACTACTACATAGGTTATGAGTGCGGTGAGGAAGGGAAGTACTAATGTGCACTGGAGAGAGATCCCGCCGTGGCTCACATCACTGTTCATACCGGCAGCAGGTGTAGGGGTGTTGATGCCTACTCCAAGGACACCACCTGTGGTAGGAGGTGTGAAGATTGAGTTACCACCGGTGGCGGTGGTGGTGGATGGCATTCCGATTGGTGGCGGTTTAGTAGTGGGATTAGTCTCCACTGGTGTTGTGCCTGTGCTTATGCCACTACTATACATGAGAAAAAAGGAAAGCAATATCAAAAGCACATAAAGTACCATGTGTACATGTTCTCTACTCAGAGACAATTGATATAAAGATGTAAAAATTGCTATAAAAATACTCCATTTAAAGTACAGTAGAATTTAAAGAAAACCATTTCTAGTGTTAGGGTATAATGAATCCAAAATGTTAAAATTGGAAATTTTGGACTCCTAATTGAGTAATTGCTTACATTGGGGAACAATTGGGAGGCTAAAAAATGGAAATGGGGAGGGAGGAGTCTTCTTTTAGCCAGCCCATTGACTCTCCCTGGACGGCTACTTTGCCAAAAAGAAATGGCTAGGGAGTGGGTCCAAGAAAATAAAACCCCATCTTTTTTCAAATTGTTATACTCCGTAACTTTTTTATCTATCCATCAATTTATAAAAAAATATATTTAAATTTATAACTTTTTATTATCTTTCATATGACACTAACAATGCATATACAAATCTTTAAAAAACGTTGTACCACAAGATTTTTTAAGCTAAAAAATACACGTAACACAATTCTTTAACTAATGTTGCTTCCGCAAATAACCAAACTTTACGTGAATCCATTTTTATATTTTATTAACCGGAAAAAGTAAAAATAAAAAATAATGATTTTTTGTATTTTTTTACATCAAAATGTGCATCTTTCAATTTCATATTTATTGAGGGGGGAAATTAAAGAAAAACATTGCTTATAGTAATATAATTATTGTTTTACTAAAATGAAATGTATAAAAATATGCATAATGTATTCTACTGATTGTGCTAAAATGTGAAAGAAATGGTATTGATGGAGTTCACACACAGTTTTCATATCGACAAAGTGTTTTTAAGTTTTTAGACTATTCGAATGATAAAACAACAGCCCTACTTGCACAATCCATTGACTTTATACCCCTATCTAACTTTTTGCACATAAAGCCTATGGTAAATAAGGTATTATTGTGTCTTATCATAGTGATTATTTATTCATTTTCTGTGTTATCTTGCCACTTAAGTGGCACTTTGGGTGCTCCTTTATCCCAAGGACGATTGATCATGGATTCAGAGTCTCTGCCTTCCTTTAGAGCAAGACAAGGTGCCTGATTTTTGAGAATCGTCCGATCACAACTTTAACAGTCTGATATTTTAAGGTACACATCTCAGGCTACGTTTCTTCCATCCAACGACCTCTGCTCTCAAGGCACTCTGTCGCACGACAGAGGATCTCAATCCATTTATCATATATCAATTTTTTTGTTAACATAACGTTATACATTCTATTTATATATTTTCAAAAGTATTCATTCACAATTTTGTGTGTATGTAAAGTTAGGCAAAAAAGTAAAACACATGTTGGAAAATCACAAGATGATTACAAACATTTCTTGTCTTTTGTGGAAAGAATATGACAAGTTTAAGCAATGGTTTTCCTCAACTAAATATTAACCATTGTTCAAATTGCATATACAACACACAAACCGATGTGAGCGGTACGTAAATAAATGTTTGTACATAAACATTAGTTGTCTGTTTGAATAATTTACAAGTTTTTGCGATTTATTTTTTGAGTGACCTATGTTACCAAAACAACAAAAAAGTAAGACAAAACATGTAAGGATGTCATTTTCATTATTATAACCATTTAAACCTTTTCAGCTCAAAGACATTCTTTACTCTTTGACTGATAAAACGGGAGACAAAATAGCCTACTAAAGTCATACCAAGATTTAAAGAACCACAATGTGAAAGCCTTATTGTGCAACTAATGCAATATCTACTAATGAACCTTTATTCCGATTTGAGTCCAATTAAAGAATAATAAAGGGGATAGAAGGGGCCACCCAAAGTACTAATTAAGGACAAGTCATAGAAGAATTGACTACCAAAATGAGGCCTAGAAAATATGACCAACATACCTTGCACTTGTAGGGTAAGCACAACCAGCTACACCTAAAAATGATTTTAAAAAGAGGCAAAATATTAAAAATGAAACAAAGTAAGAGTTTTTGCCCTTTTAGTCCCCCTACTGTTGTGCAAACACTTTTGATACTCATCTTTGAAAAATTTCATATTAAATCATTTGACTTTCAATTCATAAAAGTGACACTTTTCATCCTTCAACTATTATAATAGTGACACTTTTAGTCATTCACTTATTGTTGTGTCAAAATAATAGTGAAAGTATTGAAAGTGTCAATTTGATAATACTCAGAGGATTAAATGTGAGAAACTTTAAAGTCGGGAACTAAAAGTTTCTCTCGCGCAATTGAAAGTCGAATATAAAAAATTTCACTGACACAGTGGTCGGTGGAATGAAAGTGACGAAAAACTCAATAAAGTAATTTAGGATAGTATTTTCTCGAGTGGGGTGGGGGTGGGGGTGGGCATACTAGGGTTAGATGTGGTGACTGAGGCAGTGGTAGCAAAGTCACAAGAGCCAGGAATGAGAGCCTTTTTCTGGAAATAACTGTTGACGGCATAGTTGCAATGAGCTAAAACGGTATTGGGGTAGAAGCATTGCCCATTTGGCTTGATGGGGTTGCAGTCTGCCCCTGTCCCACACGCATAGTCCAATGTCTTTTGCAATTCTTGGTCACTTATTCCTTGTTTGCATATGCACCATGTTGCACCTACCAATTCAATGACATATACATATTTTGTCTAGAGTTTGTCATGTCAAAAAATAAATGATTATGCAATCCAAAATCATTTATTTCCCACTCATCATGCATCCAACCGTGTCAAGTGCAAAGTAGGTGAGAAATAAGAATACCAATAATCGTGTGGTTGAGATTTTTGCAGAGAAGAGAAAAATGTGCAGAACCACAAATTAGTTGCTTTAATAAGAAAGTGACAAACGTTGTCAAAGTTCAATGGATGGAAGGAATATAGTTGACAAAATTGTTGCCAACTTATACTGCGTAAGAATGAAGGATAGCACTACATACTAAAATAGTACTCAGCGCATAAACAAATTTACAGAAAAAACCCAACTATATCAAGAAACTGGCTTTAATTTCTTTTCCAAAGAAGCTTAAATTTTAGCGAAAACATGTTTTTAGTTCCAAATAAGACAAAACCCATGGAGCAAATATGTTTCCCAATGTAATCAAACACTGACAAATCCAGAAAACATTTTACAATGAAATATATCCCTGGAAAGTGGAAACAACATACTTAAAATTAAACCAAAATAAAATGTTATGAAGTGAGACACAGACGGGGGAGATTAATATAAGACAGAAATGCTAACTTAAGGCTAATGCAAGGAGAGATTAATCTAATAACCCATAAATTCACCAAACTTAAGATAAATAAGTATAATTCCTTGTGGTGTACGTTTCTGAAAGAAGAAAAAACAGAAATGGCTACAAATGAGTAGAATTGCTCTTATTATTGAAGGGTATAAAACATAAACAGGTATATAGTTACTCATAAGTATTTTGAAATTTGACATTCCTTTTACTCATAGTTTGAGAAATCCCCCCCCCCCCCTCCCTCCCCCAAAAGCTGATAGAATGGAAGTACACAAGGCCAAATAAAAAAGAAGATGAAATCTTACTTGATGGACTAGAAATGGCCGCAAGGAGCAGTGCAAACACTAAAGAAGAAGTAGTCATGACACTCTAGGCCACTTAGAACAAGCTAAGAAGTGTTTCTTATTATAACAAAAGCTGCTATACCCTACTATACTATACTGAGAATGAAAAGAAAAGGTTGGAAGCTAACTAAGCAGAACTGAAGATGCAGTGAGAAAGGTGTGTTTGGGAAGTAAGGGATCTTCACAGAGAAAAATCAAACGCAAAGGCATGTCTGTCTGCATACTGTTGTGCTAGTTACAAGTGGACCATACTGGTCTCTAGTGCATATATGTCGGCCGGTTGTGATTTACCACCTTTGATTGCACTCATTTCTTTCTTGTTTTTATAAGGTTACTAGGTTAGTTTGGGATCCTGAAATTTTAAAAAGTAGATTCTATGGTACTCATAAGGTATCATACCTTTGTCCACATGGATTAATGAGAAAGTTGCATTTGAATTATTTAAATCTAAATTAAAAATGATATAATGATGGGGACCAATCAAGTGAATGATAGGTATGGTATCCCATTTTTTAAACGGGTACCGGAGTTGTCACCAAAAGAAAAAGAGGAGTCTTTTTATAGAATTTATATATTACTTGAATAGAACATGCTGGCCTGCATGAATCATTTACAATTAGCTAATTAATTAATAGACATTAGTACATTACAATCTACAATTGAACATACTCATAATATTACATTGAGTTAATTATCAAAATAGGATTAAAAGTCATTCACTTTTCACAAATAGGACCAAAAAATAAACTATGTTTGCATAGGACTAATTATGTGTACCTTGGACAATTATACCCTTATAGCTATTAAAATGTTTTAATTCCTAATAAAATAATAAAAAATAATAAAAATTCGTGAAAAATACTAAAAAAATAAGAAAAACATTTCGATATTAAAAGTTTAATTATTTTTTTTTCAAAAAAATAAAAAAATTAAAAAAAAATTAAAAAAAAATAAAAACCCAAAAAAAAAATCGCCGCCGCCTCTGCCGCCAGTGCACCACCACCTTCAGTCACCAGAGGAAAAAATGCCAAGTTCATTACGAATTCCATATTTATGGTAGAAAAAAATGAAAAATGTTGGCATTCGAAAAGAGAAATATGCCACTTTTTTGGCATTTAAAAAAATGGCATTTTTCTGGGAAAATGGCATTTTTTCATAGGCCGGAGGTGGTGGTGCTGGAAGGTAGTACAGGCGGTGGGAAAGGCATCCATATTTTTTTAATTTTTTTTACGGAGATTTACTATTTTTTATTAATTTTTTTAAAAATAAAATTATTTTAAAAAAAAAGTTTTTGAATTTTTTATTTTATAAAAATTTTATAAAATTTTTAATTATATTTCTATGAATTTTTGATTTTTTTTTTCGAATTTATTATGAATTAAACATTTAATTATGACTTTTGACTATTTTTAATTCATATTTAATGGAAGGGTAAGAATGGAATGCCAAAATAGGTATGTTTCAAATAGGACTCATATGGTCCTATTTTGGAATAAAAACATAGCAAGTCCTATTTTAGGTTTTGACATAGTTTTAGTCCTATTTGAACTAATTTCTATATTACATTTACTTTATGGTCATTGTGTGTTATAACTTGTAAATCGTAATTTTATGTATTATCCTCAGCGACAACTGATTGTTAGAACTGGAGGATAAAAATAGTAAAATAAGGGTGTAGAAATATGGCTGGACCGGATATCACTTCTAGTCACATATAAATACGCTTTCCTAAAAGTTTACTATCTACCCTTATCACAGTAACCGGGTTACAAGATAGAACTTTTGGGATAAAAAGAAGGTGTATGGTGTATTTTAGCTACTGATAAAATAACACCGAACAAGTGATTTGTATATAAAGTGGTCTAAATACTCTAATAATAATACTGCAGATATTAGTATTTTAGTATGGCAAAAGAAGATTAAATTTTTTGATGTTCAATCTACGTGAATTCAACATGGTCCTTATTTTATAATTATAAGGCAACTATTTAAAAGGGCAGCAGTTAACAATCCAACCGAAATGTTCTTTGAAAGAACGGTTGAAAAGTCTTTTGAAATAAAAAGGTGCATTGGGCTCCTTTTAAAATAAATAAAAAACAAGTACACAAAATAAATGAAATAATCCCATTATTATTTAAATAAAAGAATTTCTTGTGCATGCAAAAGCACACACAGGTAAAGACACACCGGTAAAGACATCTCCAATATGCATCTCTTAAATTTAAACTTAATTCATAGTATTTGAAAATAGAGCTAAGAGAGCATCAACAAAATAATTAAAATAATAATTAAAGTATTATTATTATCAAACCACAACTACATGTGTACACATGTGGTGTTCATAATAATAATAATCATTACAATTGAAAATTCCTTTAACACCATTTTGTTAATACAAAACATTTGTTTATAAAATGATTAAGGACCATGTAAAATAACAATTGAGCTTTATTATCAATAAATCTCCAACAATCCTCCTCCATTTATTGACAAATAAACATGCTCAATTCTTGCCAAATAGACCACTTAACAAGATTTATGCATATGCATAATTGAAAGTGTCGTAAAGATTGAACTTTCATTTAGTGCAATATTCTTTACAATATTTCGGATCATAATAGTAGACTAAGCTTTGAACTATATAACCACTTTGAAATATCAAAGATATTACACACATAAATCTTTATACAATATCACTTAGAAACTTGACACTATTAACGGTCTTGTGTCCATATCCATTCATGAGCTCCAACAAGTAAAGCCTTAAACTTGGTGAATCGGCCGCCATTCTAGCTCATATAGGTAGACTTTTTCAAATCGTGTTCTGCAATCAAACACTTTATCAAAAGATCTATTAAGACATAGTCAACCTCATTACACATTGCACATCTAAGCACTTACCTCGGGATGGTTATTATTCAAAAGTGCTTCAATCACGGAGTGACTTACTCATCATCATTGAACTCAAGATCTAGCATTGTACTAGACGTTGAGTTGGGCTTTCTTTCACTTGTGATTATTTTCCAAGGGCTTTAACCCCATCCCTTTTGCAGTTTTGTACACCATGTCTCTTGGCATTGCTTTTGTAAAAGGATCCGCCAAATTCACATGCGACCGTACAAAATCAATCACAACAACTCCAAAACTAATAAGTTCCCGCACATAGCTGTGTCTCACTCCTATGTGCCTTGACTTACCATTGTACACATGGTTATAAGCTTTCGATAGAGTTGATGCACTATCACAATGGATTGATATCGGAGCCATAGGTTTAGGCCATATTGAGACTTCTGATACTAAATCCTTTAGCCATTCCGCTTCTTTACAAGCTGATGCTAAAGCTATAAACTCCGAAGCCATGGTAGAGTCTGTGATACAAGTTTGTTTCTTAGATGCCCATGAAATAGCACCTCCTCCAAGAAGGAATAACCATCCACTTGTGGATGAATAATCCTCTTGATTAGTTATCCAACTTGCATCCGTATAATCTTCTAATATAGAGGGTCCACTCTTGTAACATAAGCCGAAGCTCATTGTTTTCTTTAGATATTTCAGCACTCACTTCAAGGCTTGCCAATGAAATATACTAGGATTACTAGTATATCTACTTAGCTTTCCTACCGCAAATGCAATATCTGGCCGGGTGCTAGTCATTGCGTACATCAAACACCCAATTACCCTAGCATATTCAAGCTGTGATACAGCGTTCCCACTATTTGGAACTAATTTCCAACTAGGATCCATGGGAGTGGAAACCGGTGAACAATCCAAACTCCCAAATCTTTTCAACACTTTCTCTATATAGTGAGATTGTGTTAAGGTGATAGTATCACCTTGCTTGATTATCTTAAGTCCAAGGATAACTTCCGCTTCACCCATATCTTTCATGGAGAAGTTTGAACAGAGGAAAGCTTTTGTCTCTTTCACTTGCCTCAAATCAGTGCCAAATATGAGCATGTCATCCACATATAAACAAATAATGACACCACCATGCTCATTAAATTTGCTATATACGCACTTGTCTGATTGGTTTATTTTAAAACCATTTTTAAGCACCACCTCATCAAACCTTTGATGCCATTGTTTAGGTGCTTGTTTCAGACCATACAAGGACTTGACAAGTTTACAAACTTTCTTTTCTTGTCCTTTAACTACAAACCCTTCGGGTTGTTTCATATACACCTCCTCTTCCAATTCACCATTTAAGAATGCAGTTTTGACATCCATTTGGTGAATCATAAGATTGTGAATGGCTGACAAAGCAATTAACAATCTTATGGTAGTTATTCGGGCTACCGGTGCATATGTATCAAAGTAATCAATACCATGTTTTTGTTTAAAGCCTTGTGCAACCAATCTAGCTTTAAACTTGTCAATGGTACCGTCTACTTTCATTTTCTTCTTGAAAATCCATTTACAACCGATTGGTGTGCAACCGGGTGGTAAATCACTTAGAACCCAAGTATTATTGCCCATGATTGAATCCATTTCATCGTTCACGGCCTCTTTCCAGAAGGAAGCATCTTGTGATTTCATTGCCTCCTCAAAGGAGTTAGGATCCTCCTCAACACTATAACAATATAGTGTTTGAGTTACGAGGGTCTCTCTTGATCCTTCAACCAAATATAATTGGAAATCGGGACCAAATGACTTTTCTTTTCTAGCCCTCTTACTCCGTCTAATTTCATGCTCATTTTCATGATCCTTTTCCAGTTCATGAAAATTTGAATTACTTGGACTGAGATCGACATCCTTTGGCCTAGGAATAGAAGTGAACCGCTTCTCATCGAAAAGAGCATCCCTAGACTCAATAACAGTATGAACCGCAATTGAGTCATTCGGTTCAATAACATAGAATCGATATGATTTACTATGTTCAGCATATCCAATAAATATGCACTCTATCCCCTTTTCACCTAACGTTTTTCGTTTAGGCTCCGGTAATCTCACGATTGCCCTACAACCCCATACCCTAAGATAACTTAGTTGGGGTGTTCTCTTGTGCCAAAGTTCATATGGGGTTATTTTATTTCTCTTGTTAGGAACTCGATTAAGAATATAACAAGCAGTTAACATAGCATCACCCCAAAATCCATTACTTAAGCCCGAAATAGACAACATGGAATTAACCATTTCTTTTAAAGTTCTATTTTTTCTTTCAGCTATGCCGTTTTGTTGCGGCGTGTAAGGGGCTGTTGTTTCATGGATTATTCCAACGG